GGGCCCCAGCCTTGGCCCCCGACCTTGGGTGTATGAGGGGTGGAGGTAGGCCAGGCGCTGTGAGAAGCAGTCCTGGGGGGAAGCCTCTGCCTGGTCACCTCTGATCAGAAACCCCCGAGGCCTCCACAGTGTGACCTGCCATCAGCTCTGCAGACACAGGCTGCCGCACCCCCCAAATGGGGGAGGGGTTCTGGGGGTGAGCTGGCTGGCTGCGGTTGCCCTGGGGTGGGATATTGCTTGTATACCGGGGCCCCCCCACGTTACCTGCCCACGTCTCCCCTGGGCTTCAGCATGAGGTTAGCAGTATGCTGTGCATCCTGCCAACGCCATGTACCGGTGGCCTCCGGTCTGCGCCCTGTGGTTACTTAAGCACATGGAGCCTGAGGCTGGGAGAGGCGCTAGAGCCGTCATGAGGCCCCCTGGAGCTCTGGGCCCTGACCTGAGAGGAAGGAGCTCCCCTGGGGGGTCCCAAGGCCATCTCTCATCACTGAGCATGGTAAGAAATCCTCACTCAACTCCCGTGGCACTGAAGCCTCTCGCCCAGGCCCCAGCATGGAGATGTGCCAGCAGGTAGCCTGACTCCCTCTGCCCCTGTCAGGACCCTGGAGGTGGCCGTGCTGGTGCCCATGACTGCCCCCCACTGCGAGGGTCAGCCCTGCCTCACACGGGGCAGGCGCACCCAGGCACCCTCTTACTCTCTTCCCTCCCCGCAGAGCAGCCCTCCGAGGGCTTCCCTTCCCCATGGAGAGCAGGAAGGCGGCTCTGGGACCCTGGAAGGCCGGCAGAGAGGTGAGACGTACCAGATGTCCCATCTTTGCCATCACAGGACAGACCCACCCCTTCACTTGCCCTGGTGGGTGCCTCGTTGGTACAGGGCCAAGGCAGCAGCCGTCCAGGGGAGGTGACCTGCCTGATCAGCCCCTGTGGGATGAGGCAGGTCCTCGGGCTGGGGAGGAGGGCAGACGTGCTGTCCGTCTCAGGCTGCCCCTGGGAACCACCGCCTGCAGTGTGAAAGGTCTGGCACCTGGTGGTCGCCTGCAAAGCTGGGGGACAGATGCAGCCATAGTGCCCGCACATGGCCAGGCTGTGGCTTGCAGCCTCCTGGTGAGCAGGCCTGGGTTTGTGTTGCAGGCTTTTGTGACGTTTGAGGATGTGGCTGTGGATTTCACGCAGAAGGAATGGGAGCTGCTGAGCCCTGCGCAGAGGACCCTGTACAGACACGTGATGCTGGAGAACTTCAGCCACCTGGTGTCGCTGGGTGAGCTCGGGCTCCCCTCAGGGCTGTTTTGCATCCTTTGAACCTTACTCTTCCTGGGCTCCCACTGAGAAGCAGGTGCTCAGCTTCCTGCTCCCCTGGGGATGGGCGGGGGCTGTGTACCTCTGGGACTACTGCCAGGCCTTCCAGTGCCCACACAGCCTGGAATGCATGGTTCCCAGCTCCATCCCACCACCACGGTCTTCCCCTCCCAGTCTGGCACCAGCACATAGTGTCTCTGGCATATAACCAAAACTGACCTACTCCTTTGTCCCGCTAAGCAGGAATTCCCTGTTCTAAACCGGACCTCATCACGTGGCTGGAGCGAGGGGAAGAGCCCTGGAGGGAAGAGAGGAGACACCGGCCAGGCCCTGGTCCAGGTGAGGGGAGCCTCCGGGTGGACACTGGCCTTCGGCCTTGCACGGCCAGGGCAGCTGCTCAGAGGCTCTGGCAGGAAGCTGTCCTCCTGCACCGCGGCTGCTGGGGGTGCCTGGCCCTGCCTCCCTCCCACACCGTTGTCTTGGATGAGTGAGGGGGTGTCCTGGGTGCCCAGACACCTTCCGACTGCAGGAAGCCCACTTCTCCCCAACAGGCTTTCCCTCTGTGGCCTTGCTGACCCGGCTCTCTGAGGCAGCAGTGGGGTGTCTTCTCTGTGTTACTGTCCTGCAGGGCCCCGTGTGTCCCATCTTGCACCTCTTCTTCTTGCCACCATTGTCTCGGGGGCCACTTCTCCTTCCTTTTCCCTCTTGTGACCCAGAGGCACTGCCTTCGGGTGGCTGCTGTCTGGAGGTGGGCACCATGGGGACTGCTTGTCACGGTTCTTTCACCTGTCGCCTGGACGTGCTGTCTTGGAGCAATGGGGGTTCCCCTTTGGGCCCCCTGTTCCCGTCTCCTGTGTGCCCAGTACTT